AAAAAAAACACAAATAAAACCAAAAGAGATCCTACCAAAACTACTGTATGATCCCAGATTTCAGAAAACTTTGCAGAACCAGCAGAAGAGGAGTGTCTCTGCCACTGCTGACGTGAATAAGCCCTTACTTTCCTTAGACATGGAGTTTTAGGAAAGGAGGAAGCTCTACTTAGCAGGCAAGTCTCACATCTGGAAGCAAAGGCAGCAGACCAAGCATTAGGAAGAGGTGATGTGGTAAGAAATCACTGTCCTAGCACTTGAGAGCTGAAAAATGACACTAACTCACATGCATTGCCAGCGAGATTGAGAAGGGAATGAATTGTTTACAAAGCAGTGAAGAATGAAAGGGAAAACAGGAGAGGAAAAGAAAACGTACTTTGAGAGTACAATGCATATACAAAAAGGTATACATGACTATACACGATAGAAGAAAATAAACCAAGTGAGGTTAAAAAAAGTGGAAATTAAGATAAAGGAAAAGCAACAGTTTTCAAATTCACATACATTACATGAAATGATATTCCAGCCCTGGCACAAGTGCACTTAACTGTGTCACATGCATCCACTCAGGCTATCCATGCAACCTCTGCCATAAATCTTGAGTTGCACCGTGCCACTCATGAATTCAGCTTTCATCCAGACACAGCTTTTGATCAGTTACTAGAGCTTCACAAGCAGACATTGTGTCTTGGCCACCTGTAGCCTGAAGAAGAGGAGAGCAAGTAAAGGAAATAACTTACTTCAGGTAAGTATAAAATGCTGAATTGAGCCCAAAAAGAGAAGAACTTGACCAAGTATGTGTCATTGTTAACAGTCTCTGGACTGGGTCAAAGTACTCCTTGGTCTATTTTGGCCTTGTAGTATGTTCTCTGTTGGATTTCTTATACACTGGAGAGATGTTCTGCAGCATTTAAAAAAATAATGATTGGGCTCTTGGCATTTATCTCTGAGAATTCTGGTGAACTAACTTTTAGAGTTCTTGAAAAACATTCGATTTTGCTTCTTTCTAGAGCCCTTAAAGGGGTTATTATCACAAGACACAGTGTTATGACTTTATCTAATCCGTAGTTCTTGAGGAACAGAAGGATTTACTTATAGTTTTAGATTCACAAGAGTCCATTCACCACAGGATAAGTACCGGGCCATTTCCATCGCTAAAGGATACCTTTTATCTATAAAATGTTCTAAAAATGCACAACTAGGAAGCATAAAAACAGACTCATGGCTAGCTTATTACAACCACATTTTTAACCATGCTTTTTAAATTGAGTATTTTTCCCGTAAAAACATCCGCTACAAACTGAGAAATACTCATGAGTTTATTGTGCACAACAGTAAACATATGTATTACTTTAACTTGTACAAGACCATTAATCACAGCACAGTCAAGCTATTAAAGCAAAAGAAGTCAACATTCGGATTTCTCCAAAAAGCCAAATACTATGGATACTGTTGACTGATTACAATAATACGTGTTATTTGAGAAGTTTCATTAAAAATAGTTCTGTTACTCTTAACTCCTAATATCAATGTTCAAATGTTTTCACCACCAAATTGCCAGTGCTTCAGTAAATTGTTAGTGGGAAAAAGGCTGTCATAAACACACTGTTTGGGTGGAGGGCAGTGAAAATTACCTACCTGTTACAGTGATTTTCTCCTAAGTAACAAGACCCACTCTTACATGACACCTATAAGTAGCAAGAGAATTACTTGACTGTAACATGAGGACAATGCCACAAGCCACAACTGCCAGGCAACATGGTAATACCAACCATGTAACTACTGCAGTCACTTCATAGGCCAAGGGAGATGCTGTTGCTAATTTAATTTCCTATTAACTTAGTATTTCTGTTCTAAATAAATGAATCCGCTCCTTGAAACTCAACAACAAATCCTCCAAGTCCTTCACTGTCACTGATGCGTTGGCATGAACAGTAATAGAATGAGTTTTCCTGAGAATATTCAAGTTCATCCCTTCTTGCCCTCATTCAGAGTTGCGATGGCTGAGTCCCCAAGCAGTTTCATTCGCTCTATAATTATACTACCATACCTTAAAGAAAAGTAAGCTGTCCACATAATCCCTGCTCAGAGGTTCCCTTCACACTTTTTGCCCTTGAGAATGTGGCAGCTGCTTGCCATCTCTGGAACAAGGAACACCCACCAAGCTGCCACCAAGAGAACACTGATTTAATTCAGGTTCTGATTTTACCAGTTCTGTCTTGTCAGTAAGCTCTATTTACCAGCCCTAATAAGCCTAAAATATTAATCCACTAGGAAGCACCTAGTTTTAACCCATCAATATCACCTAGAAATCACACCGCAAAGTGGTTTCCGTTGTTGCAGCCAGCTTAATTCATTGCAAATAAAGTAAGCAAATAACAAGAAGTGACCCCCTGTCCAAAAGGAGTTGAAATCTTAAAAAACCAACCAAACAAACAAACAAAAACCCAAACAAAAAAACCCCAACCAACCAACCAAAAAAAAAAAAACCACACAAAACCCCACCAAAGCTTATATAATTTAGGGAAAATTGAGAAGTTCCACCCTTCACTCACACAAGGAAAGCGGGATAGTGCAAAATCAGAATACTTTCTTCTAAGATGTTTCCAGGATGTTATGGAGAACTGCCACAATCCCATTACCAGTTACTCATATTATAGATGCACATGTAAACACACAGGCCCAAGAAGCAAAGGTTCTGGTCAACAAAGCAGCATTATACAAATTGCAAAAATGCAAGACTTACTTTCACAATACTTAGAAGTCTTTTATCGTCTTTTTACCTTTCATCTCTCATACTTCTAACATGCTACTCCCTGCAGCAATGCAGTATTTCCCAGCAGTCTATCAAAAAGGCAAGCAACTTGAACAAAAAGGGCCCCAGGCACTGATTGACAAGAAGCACCACATCCAGCACACAGTCCATCCAGCACAGCACATTGGTAGGACACACAAGGCAACACACAGCTGGTGATTAAGAGAAAACAGAGGAGAAGGCATGGAGATAAGAAAGTCCATCCTGCCTACAGCAATACCTAATTTCTGTTAGAAACAAGACAAACAGATCTCGGCATCACAGAGTGGCAGAAGTGATGGATTGGACCTGAATACCTCCCTTAATATAGGAAAAAATAGATTAACCGATCCCTCCCCCAACCCAAACAACCACTAAGTGAAGGTAAACAAAGAAAGGACAGAAAGTACATTTCATAAAAAAATGCTTCCTGGCATCATCTAAATTTGAAATTGCTTTTGGGAACGACACTTCGGCTTCCTGCCTCAATTAAGGATGCAATACTTCTAAACAAACGTGTATTTGGCATCTGTTTCTCCTCTCTTTCCATTCAATTCCGAAATAGCTGTAATGCCAGTACCCAGACCTAATAAACAGGCTTTACTACCTTCAGTCTCCACCTCTGTTCCTCATCTCTACACTTTCCATTACGTGTTAAAATGCGCTTCCATAAATAGTCTGGCAAACAGAAGACACAAAGAGTCACTTCCAAATGAAGACCTCTGCAGCACACCAGAACTAACGACTGGAGAGATCAGTGTTCAGATAATCTTCCAGTTTTCAAATAATCAACAGATTATAGATTGCAATATTCTTTGATGATACCAAACATGAATATTTTGAAAACATATCATTTTTCATAAAATTCTTTTTGAAACATATTCTACTCTGCTAGGTATTATTAAATTTATTAGAAAATAATAGGTAATATATAGGAAAATATATAGTAATCATTGCCACATCTGTTGGGCATCAGTATATACAGTAGTATAGTTTGTATACTCTCTGAATTCAAGGTACCTTACTTTTGAGAAAGTGTTTTAAACAGATAATGTTGGCTTCTTTAAGGGAGTATGGAGCATATAAAAATGCTATCAAGTAACTACATTGGCAGCAGAGCTGTCCTCTGCACGTGACCCTATACAGTTAGATGGCATTACTGCATTTCTCAAACTTTTTCAAGCATCACAAATGGTGATGCTTGCGCACTTCTCATAATGCTGAGATGTGATCCCTTATGTTTTGTCTGAAATGGTGAAATCAAGCTGCTTCCAAGGGCCTGTCCCAAACAATTCCCAGTCCCAGCCTCAAGCTAAGCCCAAAGCCATACCACCCCTTCCCACTTCCCAGCCTGGACTTACAGAGAAATAACAACTAGGAGGAGAGACCAAAAAGAAACCATGATGTTATCCAAACAGAACACAATTCTAGTTTATGATGTGGCACACATTCAGGGTCAGATTAGCTACTGTCAATTACTCTTCTGTGGGTAAAGAGTCACTAGGTAGCTAGGGGGAGGAATAAATGGCCTGTACTGCTCTGAATATATGCAGTCCAAAAAAAAAGAATGATATTACAAAATACAGCACCTCACAAAAAACTAAAAATGCTCATTTCAGAAATGTAAAACTATATACAATAAGTAACATACTAAGACATTTAAAATTTTTTTAATTTTTAAGAAAACATTTCAACTTACCTTACTTAAAAAGCAGAGAGAGAATTACAAACCTTACTGCTAAAGTGTTCAAAATAATTATGTTCAAAGCAGACTAATCCTTCGTTTAGTACAAGTCAGTCTCGTACTAGAAAAATGACCAATAAAATAAAAACTGTAGACTTAGGTTCTAGTCAAATATACAGAATGACCAGTTCATACCATCACTGACAGTCTGGTACATGTAGTCACCAAAGAGATTTGATTTTGGTTGATCTCAGAATATTTATGGTAGCCCTGAGAATGCAGGAAGTTCTTTAAAACAAATATCATACAAAATTTGAATCGGTAACAAAAAATGAAAACATTCTGAAAGAATGACAAAGCACAAGGGAAAAGAACTATTGTGCAGCCAATAGTTTCAAAACCAAACACCCACTCATAACTGGCAATGTTTAAGTCATAGAGAACGAAAATGCCTGCCCTCAAACAACATGTGAACTAAAGGCTGAAATGTGAGTCACAAGGAGAAAAGAGAAAAATGCTTACCTATGAATAGAAAAAGAAGCAATGGATCTAATGAGAGATGCCACTGCCCCAACTTTGGCAGCTTCCACTGCTCCCTGCGATCTGTATCGCACAGTTTCACCATAACTGATGAAAGGTTCGTTGTAGACAACAATCTTCCCCTTGGCCTCCTGAGCCCTTTTGTGCAGTTCATCAAAAGAGGCTACCACTATGACTTCCGCCGTAATTCCTGAAAGAAAACATTACAGTGGTTTTAACATTGCTTTCCTACAACTTTCCTAAAGCCAGTTTTAACTGACAGAAAAGCATGGACAGTGCAGGACACAGGAAATCAGATTTAACTTCTTACTGGAAAGGGAAGACTATGTAAAACGCTTCATCGGGGATTGGTACTAAATAGCACCCTGAACCGAGTACACACAGTTCTGTAACCCATGCGATCAGGTTGGTATTAAAACATAACCTGAAGGGCAAGAAGGATACATGGAGGGAATTCTGTTCTCTGCATGTGCTTTAATGCCTCACTGCAATCATTTATAGTACAAAAACATTTGCAAAAGCTGCCTATGGGATTAATAAAAAAAGATAGTAATCTTTTCATGGAATTGTTTTGATATGTTGCTAAACAACTTAGCTTAACATAAGACAACTGGAAGCACATATTTTTAGACTGAAACACATAAAATCATTTAATCCATAAATGAAACAAAATTAAAGCATTACAGTTTCAACAAAATTTGCAGTATGCTTATAAACAAAAAAAAATCTTCATATTTAATTCATGAGAATACCACGGTTCTACTGGATCTCCCTCTGCAAGTTTTCCCAGGAACCCATCTTTCCCAGTTATGATACAGAGAACACAGGCAGGTACTTCTGCAGAACCATTCACACATGGTAAATTAGATCCCACACGGCTCTTTGTTTTTAATAGTTGGAATAGTTTTAAATTGCTATACGATCTTGCTTGAAAAAACACAGGATTTTATAGATAAGTAGTTTTCCCAAAGCCAGAGGATCCTTCTAACTTCTTCGAACATTGAGGAACTATATTTCACAGCAATTAAGAAGTAATTCATTAAATAACCACTACGCTTAAAATCCATTTTTTTTTATTGATTGCAGAGATAAGTAGAAACTGCTTAACAATATGGGCTGGTACTATTCTTCAAAATATAGGAGTAGTAATGGATGTCTGAAATTTTAATGTTGTGCATTTCACCTAAATGCCACAAAATATGTCAATGAAAACTAAAACTAATAACAAACGTCTAGCAAGGATTTGTTGAAGAAGTCAAACTATCATGTTTTTAAGAAGAAAATATTTCTCTTTGAAAGTCCTCTTTCTCTCTTTTTTTTTTTCTTTCTTTTGTGGCATAAGAATTATCTGGGGAAGATTTCAAAGGCTTGTATTTGAGACTGTAATACATAAGAACTGAAAATCATCTTATAGGAAAATCATCTCTCCCAGCACCAGTGTATCCAGACTCATGGCTTCTTTAAGATCAAACCAGAGTATACTTCAAAACCTTAAAGAAACTGTTACACACACAAAAAAGTCTGTTTTCTTAAGAGTGCACCACTAAGAGGGCAAGAGACATCTACTGCTACAGCAAAACCCTGCGAGTTTTAGCTACAGAACTAGCCTAGTGTGAAAGGTGTAAAAATTTTAACTGAGTAACTATTCAGATTCTTAGCTTTACAGGAAGAGGCACAGAGAGCCAATCCAGAGAATCACCTTCAAATTTTACTAGTTGTTGTTGGCAGATAGGTGAGCATGCTAACAGACTCCAGCTGCTTCTAATGAACTGCAGATTCAGCTGCCTACCGAAGGAGCATCCCAGTGACAGGATCATTCTGGGTATGGAACCAAGCCACTGGAAATAAAGCCAGGTATCTGCAAAATTTCATTTTCCACAAGAAAAGTCATGGTCTCAGTAGGTTGATGCTGCAATTCATATTTCATATTAGCTTCCCCCAATGCTCCCCTTGGATCATGCAGCAGGCACTGGATGGGCACACATTGTATTAGTGACTGTTCGTCAAGGGAAGCAAGAAGTGTAACTCTTCTTGGCATTACTTTACTACATTCATGAACAAACACCAACTCTGGATGACTTTTAAAGAATTCTACAGACAGCTAGCAACTACCTATAATCCCTAAGAAATATGTTGGAGAAGTACATTTATGGCCCTCCCTAGATGACAGGCATCAGGAGTTTGTACGGTGAGCTTTGTGGGAATTAAAGCTAAGGAAAAGGACACAGAGCTGCAAACTCCAGCCCAGTATCTCTACTTTTGCATGTTCCCAAAGAAGCTAAATAAAGCCGTCCTTTGACAAAACAAACCAAAGGTTCTCTCTGCAAGTTTAACTTAATGGCAGCACAGTATACATAAAGCATTAATCACAGTGCTTTGTGTAACAAAAAACTTCCCTCTTGTGTAACTTCTGACTAATTCAATGCCTCATTTGTATTTTAGTCCCATTTTATACCATTTCAGTCTCATCTATTGAAGTGACAAGAATAATGTTTATCTTAAATAAATATGTGGGCACACATACAAAACCACCCTAAGATCTCCTGTGCAAAGGGAGAAATGAAACAAAAAACCCAACAGTTTACCAGTTTAAAGGGAATGAGTTATTCCTTTTCAAAATGGGAAATACCTCACCTTACTGAGCCTTTAAGCAAATTAACCAACCTCTACCCCTAGCATCTCCTGCCAATTCAGCGCTTCATGGCTCTACTTCCCATGTCAAAAGCTGTTCTATCTCTTTCTTACTCCTATCATTATCTGATACAGAGCTTGGCTTCTTGAACAGAAGTCTTCAGAAAACCCACGTAAGGAGGGAGCTGGATTGCCTGCTTACTTAATCAAGATATAAAGATTATAACCCCTGCAGTCCAAGAGATGAATACGGAGCATTTGGGGAATTAGCGAAGTAAAAGGCATGAAGCGTAGAAGACAGAATTACAAACACGATAAACTTGGCTGACTATATGAAGCTGAAGACTATTTGTTCTCACCATGTGAAACATTATACATATTGTTGCGTGGGGCCAATGAGCAAAAGAATCTGTGTAGTACTATGGGTTTCCTCTTATTTCTCACAGTAAACAGTAAGTTGTACCCTGTTATTTCTGAGAATTAAGGTACAGGAAGGGTGTTAATGGTGGGAACAAGAAGACAATTTACCAACAAAATTATATATTACAAAGTTCTCTGTACACAGAAATGTACGTTTCTATCTAGACACTTGGATATGCCACAACTTTGATGATCACACTGCCAGCTGAAATAAATGGCATGGTATGGATTAGCAAAGTCTAATATCTGTTACAGGCAGGATGAAGGCAAGACTGATTACTGTTACTCTTTATTCGCTACAAAAAGTCCAACTATATATATATACACACTGTAAATCACTGTCTACAACATTGCCATACATCAGAAATCTGATTCTTGGCCTGAACAATTATGTTTGGAGAGTCACCTCCTAGCACCTCCTTACCTGCCAACAATTGTGCCAGAAGTACATTAGTTCAAAGGGAATTCCCCACGAGGTAACTTACTCTCCCCAAGATTAAATGCAGCAAACATTTAAGCCATTTTAGTATCTGGAGCCACGCATCTGTCTGTGTCAGTAACGGGTTTCCGAGAAAAGCAAGAAAAAAAAAGGAAAATCCACCCTATTATCAGATTTTAGAAACTGATGAATCTTTTAAAAAATCAAGAAAACTTCATACAAAATCTTGTTGCTGTTCCTGGCCACACCAGGGTAAGACTTTACCATATTGAGTATCAGGAATTCCTGAGATTTGGGAACCCAGTCTCTGTTGATTTTTATTTATTACTATCCTAGAAACACTCAACTCATAAACAGACAGAAATTCAACCTAGTTAGTTACAGTCAAATGTTGTATTAAAAGAATTTAGCAAAGACAGAAAGAAATACCATTTGCGTACTGTTTAATCTTACTGGATACTAATTTCCTGATAACTCAATTACGACCTTACTCCCTTCTTTTTTCTCCCAGTCTCATTTTTTTCATCCAGTTCACATCAACAGTCCCTTGGAGATGTAGTTACAAAACCAAATGCAGAGGTCATTAATTTGACAATAATTTTTTTCAGTGACAGCAAGTGAACAACTCGCCTGTACATAGCTTCCAAACGTCATTTACTTCACACTGTGTTAACATAAGAATTATGATTTCTCTTACAAATCACACCATGGAACAGCAATGCTGCAGATCCACACGCACTGAAGCTGCCACTGTCAAATAAATAATGTGATGGGCAAGGCAATTTTCACTTAAAATACAGTATTTTTAGGTCTAGATACAATAAGGCTCAAAAGTACATGAACTAAGTCTCTGCTAAACTTCCCTGTGTGTTATATATTGAAAATTTTTGCATCCTAAGCATAAAATACTGCCTGAAATATCAACACAAAAAAAAGTCAACAACACATCTAATTGTTCTGGTACCAGTGGAGGTTTTAAAACTGTGGAAGAATGTATCTGAAACACATTCCAGCCTCTTCAGTCATGACAGCAAGAGAGAAACAGTGTCACTTCCCCATACCAGGCATCAGGACACCAAAGGCAGGAAATCAATGCACTTCTTCATGGTAGGAAGACAAAGAAAGAGTAGGAGCAGCAGCACACCATGAGAGCAGTGCATGAAGCCTACCTGATGATCGCAGCCCTGCCTCGTAGACCAGCGACATCAGATCACATTGATTCCCTCGTTTCTTGTCTGCTGGATGGCTACCACTTCTCAAATTTCTCCATTTCCACCTCAGCTCTCCCACAAAGCTAATTTATACTGGAAGCTGCCATATCAAGGTAAACTGTATTCCATGGTGACCCTAAGCACATGCAGGTGGAAGCCCCAAGCTTTTCTGACCATCCAGCTGTCCTTCAGAGTCAACCATCTCCCCATGATAAAAGTACCATGCCTCTCTGCTTCTTTCAGAAACGGCCCACATGCACTGTCTTGTGCCTATATGCAAGGCAGTTTCTTTCACAGAGTCACAGAGAACCTAGAAATTTTGTTGCAGGGGTCATAGGAAAAAGCTGCACATCCGAAGTTAAAATGTAGCAGTTCTCTGATAAAAATGGCAGTCTTGGACCCTGGATGCCACATCACCCTGCACAGAACCAGATCACGTGCCAGGACCATACCCCTGGATGAGGATGTAAGAAGATGAAGCGTGCAACA